TTGAACATTAAAGCATGTCAACATATTCTGTTACACCAAATACACAAAATAATGATCTTTAAAAAAGCATCATATGACCCCTTTAATTAATGTCTTGATTAAACCAAGGATATTTCATATGGGTATATTTTACAATCTCATGAACTTTTTGAAGCGTCAACGTTTGGGTGGAATAGAGTTTTAAATGGAGGGACAGAAATCACTCAGCTTTCATTCAAAATATCTCAAGTTACATTCAAAGATGAACGGCATCCCTTTAAGGAGTGAGATGAAGACATATTAGGACATCACATACCTTTTGAGCTACGGCAGAGAACTTGAGGACGTTGACCGTCTCATCATGCATGGAGGCGCACTGGTTAATGTTTACAATCATACAGGCTTTGCCCCGGCCGGTAAAGTATCCCTGCAGATAGTGAGTGAGTTTACTCTCTCTGAATGGAACGTGCTGTCTGAAAAGACAAAATAAGAGGTGTTTAAAGGACAAAGGAAAGGAAGAAGAAAAAAAAAAAATATATATATATATATATATATAAGATTTATATACCTGGCCTGCTGGTTATTTCTGAGCGCACTGATGCATTTTCCCAGGCTGAGTAGAGAGGTGTTGATGTTTCCTGCCTCTTTCAGCCGTTCCCCTTTATTTTGTGTTTTAGCACATCGCTCAGATCCGGCCAGATCACACAGCGCCAGCCTTGAACCAGAGTAAATACTTTAACAAACCATTCTGAAACACAACACAAACATACTGCAGAGAAGTCAGATCAGTATTCACAGACTCACTCGCTGACTGACTCCACTCTGGGTATTCCCACATCTTCCACCTTCAGGATCCGGACAGAGAAAATACTGTGGCTAAAAATCAGGCAAAGAGGACATGAACTCAGAATAACACATGCATACAACACCCACTGCGTTAAAATGGATAAACAACAGGAAGTTACAGAATTTGTGTAGTGTACCTCCTGCTGGAGAGAATGTTGAGTTTAGTGCTGGAGATGCTCTGGTTCTTTTTGCCCAGTTTCATCACTTTCAAGGCTTCATCAACACTGCTCACCTGCACCCATCTCAGATCTAGAAAATTAACAAAATTAACTGTTATGAGCAAAGACACAATCTGACAGACACAGCACATCAGTTTCCTTAAAACAACTGACTGAATCACCCTTAACACATGGAAATGCTATTATCGCTACATCTTTTTTCTTATTGCTCTAGCACCAGCACCTGGCCAGTTTTAGCTATTACACATTATTCCAGGCAAAAAACAAAACAGAAGACATTTCAATGATTACAAATGACATATAATTGCTCTTTGGAATGATTTAATGAAGAAATATTGCAGTGTAATCTCACTCTTCTCGCTCAAACAGCATATGGTTCTAGGGTCATGGGTTAGATTCTCAGGGAACACATGAACTGATAAAATGCATAACTTGAACATCTCTTTGGATAAAATCATCTGTCAAATGCATAAAGGAGAAATATATATGAAAATGCACCCTTACAACATGCATTATTTCTGTTGTTATATGCAAAACTTTATTACAGCAGGCCAGGGTTCAACTTTGGCTTGGATGAACCATCAGCTACATGGAAACATTGTAACGATTTAATGACAAATATATTACAGAAACAGATGCTACTTTACCTTTGATGAATGAGTTCCCTTTGACATCCTGACAAAGACGGAGGTTGGTTCTTCGTGAAGCATTGTTTGAATGCTGTTCTAGCAAGTCGTGGATGTTCTCATTGTAGATCTCGCAGAATGAGACCCAAATTGAAAACTTGGTGTGTATGTCCATATCCACAACCAAACTCCTCTCATTCACTGCAGAGCTTATATCACATAAAGTGGAACCATCTAACAGGGAACCAAAAAGTTATGTGTCAGCCAGACAAACAACATAAACAGACTGCCAAGCACAACCTTAGAGAGGTGTAACTAACAAAAAAAAAAAAATTCTCTTTACCTTCAAGATCAGACTTCGAGCTATGGCAAGACGTACTCTTCGGTGCATCAGTCTAAAGAGAAGACAAAAGACTAATTGAGTCAAATGAAACACCCCTGAAAAACAGAGGTTGTTCAACTCACTCTGCCATTACAGTACCTCTTTAAAAAGCTTGAGCAGGTTGCGTTTGCCAGCTGCTTCCTCGTTTTGCTGCTCTTTGGTGAGCCTGATGAAATCCCAGCACCTCTGGGGTTTTAGGCACATCTGGTTGAAGATGCGACCATCCAGACTACTGAAGATCATGTTGAGGGAACGAGGCAAGATGCCTGGATCAGTATCTGGACCTAATACATTAAAACACAATCAGGACATAAACCTTGAATATGAGTATTTTGCAAAAGCAAATCACAAATTGTGAACAATTCATTCATGCATGCTTTGTTTAAATATTTTTTGTGACCTTGTAAGTACTAATCAAAATGCCATAACACACATTCAGATCTGCCTCTATTCAATTAACAACCAATGGATAGAAGCATTGGATAGAATGAATTGTCCCTGCCCTTCTTTTTATTTTTGATACAACATTTTGAACATGATTCGACGCTCCTTCTGTTTGCTTCTTCTGCATTCACACAGACACTATTTTACAAGGTTGGTCTGATCAAAACTGACCTTAATTTACTGACCCTACTTTACATTCCTGACCTTTACTGTGAAAGATTAATTAAGTGCACTCTACTTCAAAGAAAAAAAATCTTTGTAATCTTTCATTTAAATATAGCAACTTTTTGCCTCTTGTTTTAACTTGCTCAAATTAAAATGGGTTTTGGAGCATTAACACATTGACTTTTAAGCTCTATTGACAACATTTGTGACATTATGTCAATTACAACAGAAAATAATTCAGTCTATCAATACAATAAGATAAAAAATACAAACCTAAAAAAGTGAAGGTCTTCCCAGCATTGGTGATACCGTATGTAAAGACCAGAGAGTTTTGTCCCTCTAGCACATCCCTCACAAGACCCTTCACTGTGCCATCAAACATCTCCTCCTGTGTAGTGTCTGGACCAAAATACCACAAATACCACAATGTTAATAACACCTTGTGAATAATCTGTCATACAAGACCAAGTTATAAGAGAGAGTGCACAGTTTAGCTCCAACTTGTCTCACACACCTGCCTGGAAGTTTCTAGTACGCCTAGTAAGACCTTGATTAGTTGGTTAAGGTGTGTTTAATTGGGGTTGGAGCTAAACTTTGCCGGATAGTGGCCCTCCAGGAACAGGATTGTACACCCCTGATCTAGACTCTGTGTGCTGATGGGTCTGCTTGCCTGAGAGAACTGGAAACCTTGAGCTGTAACTGGCACTGACTTATCGCTGAGCCTGGCAAAAAGAGATGATTGTGGAGCTTTGAGGAGCACAGTCTCTGGAGGCTGAATAGCCACACAGTCCTTTAAAAACACAGAGAGAAAGCACAGACTAATCATTTTATTTAGAGGCAATATTTGAAACAGGTCTTCAGGGGAATTTACCCTTTAAAAATATTTTTCCCAACAAAATAAAGCATTTCTGCATGAGGGTCTGCATTTTAGGGCACTGAAAATGTGTGCTGTATCCCTTAACCATTTATTCCTTATTTTCACCTGTGATTCTCCATTCTCAATCTCAGCTGTTGAAAATGGTCTTATCCTAAGATACACCTTCAAGTGTTCCTTCTCCAGGTCAGACGGGTCCTTCAAAAGAAACATCAAGGCTCAAAACATTTCTGATGATTATTTCATAAATCACAATGTACAAATCACACAGGGTCCTGTAGTAATGTTCATAAAGTCATCTTACCTGGAAATCTGAACACTCGCTGAACTCCGAGGACAGATTTCTCCTTAAATCTTCCACAACTATCGTCTCCGGTCTTGCCTTCTCATCCTTTAGCCCTGACTCCATCATATTGCTCTAAGAAAACATATGAGAAGACATAAAAGAGGATAAAATAACAGCCTCTGAGATACAGAGCATACTTCTGACAACCCTTTAATCACATCTGACAGTAATAACACATTTTTATTTTTGCATTGTGTCAATTGTATAATCTTATGTTCATTTTAACAGACAATTACAGTTTTTATAGATATTTTATAAGTAAACCTGGCAACAACAAAAAATGACATTAAGACCCACCCGAACTCATAACCTCAACCTTTCACAAAAAAGAACAGGACATCAAAACATGCGCATTAAAACAAGCTAATTTAGTTGACTTACATAATTGTCAAAGGATAAAGTGTGTATTATATTGCCTTTAACTTCGCGCGTACTTATTTTCAAATTCCACCAATCGGATAAGCGCGAGCAACTGCAAAGGCTGCTGGGAGTGCGTGCTCGTGCACGTCACAGTGGCGCTATAAATGCGCAGAAGTTGGACTGCGCATTTCTTAGAATCAGATTGCTGCTTGTTTTTAGCGTTTGGTTTGCTTTTTCGATTTGTTTCAGTTTTTATGCTGTGTTTTTTAAGTGTATTTTTTTTAATTAGTAGAAATACGTTTTTTAATAATGTAAATTCTATATACAAGAATAAATCATAACATATACAAATAAAAACATTACTACATTAAAATACCAAACCAAAGTACAATGTAAAGTAATAGGAAATAGGATAGGATAAGAAAAAAGGGTGTGCAAATCATTAAGAAAGAACATCAAACATGGTATACTATGACTAGATCGCCTTATTAATAGATGTTGAGGCCTAAATACAAACTCAGTTCTTGCTTGGAGACATTAAAGTGGCATTTACAGTTTGTGTAGGCTATATAAAGAATATAAAACGTCCCAATAAACCAAATTAAGTTTATGCTGTCCATATTTTTGTCATTAACATAAAAACCAAAAGAATATGTCTAATATAAAGAAAACTCACATAAAACTTTCGGGAAACACTTGGTGACCAAAACACTTTATTCACATTTGATTAAAATGATTCACAATTACTTTTAAGGGTTTAAAAGAAAGAATTACAAGACACATTTACCAATGCACATTTCATAAGGGATTTCCATGTACCCAGTGCCAAAGTCTTTCACAAATCCAGTCCAAAATTACAAAACAATTACAATAATATCCATCATAAACATTCTCAGACCAGCATTCACATTCTGTTCCATTTCTGAACATTTACAGTTCCGCCTCCAGTCTGTCCAGACATTTCCCCAGTAGATCAAACTGCCATGGACATTTTTTAAATGCAGTCACAAGTTATGAAATTAAAATAATATTAAATAATTATCCTGAACAAGCAAACAAACATACAACCACTCACACGTGTTCATGTTTTGTGCCACTCACCGAAGATTCTTTGCTCTCAAAATCAAGTGAGACAAGTGAGAAAACAATATTTACAAATAACGCTCTATCGCCAGCAAATAGCGTCATCATTAAGCAAATTGCAAAGTACTGTTCAGTTTAATGTTTAACATGTAAGAAAGAAAGTAATAATAATGTTATAACAATTCAGCATTGGGACGGATGTTTAAAAGTTGTTCATTTGGATATGGTGCTTCCTCTTCATTAAAGTTATTCAGGATGTTTTTCACACCTTTTTGCCATGAAAGCAGAGTCTCCATTGGTGTCTTTCCATCCTGTAAATGACAGATAATTTTAGGATATATCCACTAAAATATACCCATTTAAACAGACTTACTAACTAATACTCACAGTATGAGTTCTTTTTGCACTGGCTATATCCACCGTCATTTAGTCATAAAAGAATAAAGCATTATATATATTTTTGCTTATATTCTGTTTGATATTGTGGCGAGTCAGTATTGGGGCATTAAAGGGGTGCTATTATTTATGCTTTTTCACTTTTTCAACTTTAGTTAGTCTGTAATGTTGCTGTTTGGGCATAAAAAATATCTGCAAAGTTACAAAGCTTAAAGTCCAATCTCCAAAAGGAGATATTTTATTTAACAGAAATCACTTTTCAAAAACTACAACGAACGACTCGTTTAGACTACAACGCATATTTTCCGGGATTTGTGATATCACAAATATGGACGAATGGGACGAGACCTGGTTGAGCTGCACTAGAGAAGGCAACGAGTGTTATCACTATGTCGGAGACACGCTAGCTTTCCCAAGGCAGATGAACTTAGTGTGGTTACAATCATCCGGGTTTAAATCGTGCTTAAATTGATTTGATTTTGACGCAATATTTAGACTGAAGCTTGCAGGCGGCTATGGTAAGGGGCATGACATTTCCTGACCGGGCGCCGAGTGCTGCCAATCACAACACACACTGGCCCAGCTAACCAATCACAGCACATTTCGTATTTCAGAAGGCGGGCCTTCATTTGATACAGGAACTATTCGAGCCGTTCATGCCAGACTGGGGAGAGAGGTGTTGTAATAATGTAAAATATGTGAAAAATAATGTGTTTTTTGAACAACCTAGTATGAGAGCCTGTTCTAGTACACCCCCAAAACAAAATCAAGACTTTGTAAACAAGTATAATAGGACCCCTTTAAACAGAATCGTGTAGTTCCTAAATCTGTCTCTAGAGGGCACCATCATGTAAACTTCAATGACATATAAGGATTGTATGTACCCTAATTGAACTTACATTGTTTTTGGCATTTAGACTGGCTCCATACATCATCAGCAGTTTTATAATTTTAAATCTATTTATCCTCACTGCGTCGTGCATTGGTGTGTCTCCCTCCTACATAAACACAATGCAGTGGCATTAGAGAAGAAAAACAAAATGTGGGACAATGCATTAATATCATAAATTTGCTATTTAAAATGACATAAAAATTAGTCAGTTTAACATACCATATTAAACATTCTGAATGTTTTGGGAAAATATTTGAATAAAGCGCAAAAAGAATTCTTACCCTGTCTTTGGCATTTACATCAGCTCCACAATGAATGAGACGCTCAGCACATTCATAATGTCCCGTCCGAACTGCAACATGAAGGGGAGTGCTGCATAGCTGTTTAAAAACAAGAAGGGTAAAAATGCTTCATGATTGTTTGCTACAAAAAGCATGAGAATGATTTGTGAATTTTATTATCACTGTCCAAAGATCCATTTGGTGTCATATGCCTGCATTAGCTTTCTATCTACCTTGTCTCTGCAGTTGAATTTGGCTCCTTTATTGAGAAGCAGCTCCAGGGCAGGCAGGCTTCCACCTCTACAGGCCCAGTGCACAGCTGTGGCATCCAGCTATGAACATGCGACAGAGAAATTGCATCTCAGAATTATAATAAAAAATAAATGTGAGATAATATTCTTGTAGCACTGGTGTAAAAGTCACATCCACCATCTGTGCTACCTTGTCTTTTTGATCCATGGATGCTCCACTCTCCAGGAGCTTCTGCATAATCTCTATGTAACCTTGGGCACTGGCTTTATGCAGAGCTGAGCGCTTAAACTGAAAGAGAGAGAACAAGTGAGAGTCGGTGTTGTTATTGTTACTAAAAGTGTTCATTTCTTGATTGTTAATTTAAATGAAGAGGATCAAAATAAAATTTAAATATTAGATGAAAAACCTAAAAAAACTAAAACTCTAAATGTTGGTAATTAACTACAGTAACTGAAATAAAATAAGTTTAAGTTTATTTTTACCAAAATAACTAAAACTAAAGCTGAAATAAAAATGTATTAAAACGAAATATAAAAAAATAAATAATAATAATAGCTATACAGCTATATAATAGTATATAAATATACTGAAAAAACACAGGTGTGAGTTTAAAGGGATAGTTCACACAAAAATGAAAATTTGTTCATCATTTATTCACCATAATGTTGTTCCAAACCTTCCGTGGAACATAAAAGATGATATTTTGAAGAATGCTGGTAACCAAACAGTTTTGGTTACCATTGACTTCCATTCTATGGACTTAAAAACTGAAGCATTCCTCAAAATGTATTTTTTTGTCATTTTTGGGTGAACTCTCCCTTTGATTCTGGAAGACTTAACAGCACGAGTGAAGGAAAGTGTTAGACGACACACTCACATGATCACAAGCATTGGGGTCTCCACCATCTGATAAATATTTCTCAACCACAGGCAGTTTATTCTCTGTGACAGCCTTTAGGAACAAAGCCTGGTCCACTGTTTCTGGCTGAAAAATGTTAGCCAGTAATTAAATCTGAAATCTTTATGATATAACCATCTTAAAATAATATAGCCGCATTTGTAACGCATTATGGAAGAAGTTCCTCACCAGGATATCAGGCTCTGGCTGTTTCTTTGATGCTTGAATCTTCCTTTCCTTTCTCCTCTTCCTCAGCTGCAAAATGTTGAAGAGGTCTTCAACAGTTTCTAGTTTTAGCTTTCCTGATCGGTCAACCTAAGAAAAATTAAAAGATAGATGTTTTTCATTATGTTACTATGTAAAATTGTAGCCATGTTCATTTTTATTAAGTTGTATTCATTCTTACATTGAGTTTGAGATTCTGTTCGCTTGGTTTGATGTCATTCAGGTCCTGTTGTGTCTGAAGTCCATCCTGTTTCTCCTGAATGATGCTGGTTTCATATTCTCCTGCAGCGAACACCTCTGCGCATGCACCTCCTGGCACCTTTCCCTCGCCTCTCTTCCCGGTGACCTGTGATTGGACATGACACTCATCAGTCTTGGATTTCATATACGTATGAATTAAAGTCAATGGAGCACAAGCAACTGTGGTCTACTGTGACCACAGCTTTTACACACTTGGTTTCAAGGACTGAATAGCTTCCAGAGAAAGAACAAGTGTGTAGTTTAAAGCAGACGTAGTTTAATTTAGTGATTGTGTGGATGGGGTGGAGAGAGTGTTCAGCTGTTTTAAGAACCTAAAAAAATAATTACACACACTTGTGTCATTTCTGTTGTTTCAAATAGGAGGACAGGCCCATGCAGTTGGGTTATTCTAGACACCCTGGATCCTTCTTAATCGCTGACAGATATTTAATAACATCACACTGCTCTATCACCCATACTCACCCACCCCCATGCATTCTTTCTTTTGTGTATTTTCTTTCTTTTTTTATATTCCTTATTTCTTACCTTTCCTTATAAGATACAGTATGTAAACACAAACATTTCCTCTGCTTTTTCTCTTGTATTTTTATTTTATGAATTTTCTTTATCTCTTGTGGGCTTTCCTATTGTAACTTCTTTCTATGTTATGCACTGCCTTTATTTTTCTCGTGTTTTTCAGTCCTTTTCATTGTAAACATTACAGCTGTAGTAACAGTAAATGGTGTTATTTTAGTATTATTTATATACTATATTAGTATTAATATTTGGAATTAGCTTATATTTTAATATTTTTATCTTTCATTTTAATTTTCATTTTACTAAAACTTAACCGAAAGTTAAAAT